TGCCAACATACTGAGGGGATAGTGTTTAAACCAGCACCGGTCTGTGAGTTGGTCTGCTAACCTAACCACCAAGTCTGCTTTAGGAAGTATTGTCTGCCTAGTCCTAAATAACCTGCTAAAGGAGGCACATGTATTGTAGAAACTGCCTAAGATGCCATAAAGTCTTAGAAACATTAGAGAACTTAATCTGAATGGTAGTGACTTGAAGTAAAGGTATATGACCTAGGTCCTTAACTCTGAGCTTCAGTTTCACTAAAAGAGAAAAGAAACAGATAACCAAAACAAGGCTGTTGAGATGACTGTATGAGTTGAGGGCCATGCCAACGTGACTGACACTAACAAAGTAAGAACAGGTTTCTCACACTATCTCCATTTTTTTATACACCGTGTATTCTTCTCTGTATAACAAACTCATGGAAAATTGAAGCCATAATTTACAGCTATGCTGGATAAATTAGCCAGAGCTTTATCTATGTAAGGAATTACATATAACAGTCTAAACTCCTCTGCTATGTGTATGACAAAATATAATGCCCACAAGTTGCACTAAAGCACTGTATTGCTCCAGTAATCAAAATCCAGAGTACAAAACAACTGTAATCATCAAATCACAAGTCAAATAATTCTATTCTTCGGCAGTTAATGTTAGATTTCTCATTTTCATTCAGATTTCAACCTAATATTTATTAAAAGATCAGTGCTTTCCCCCTTCACTATCTTAAAAACTGTTTTCCACTAGGAGTTCCCCATATAGGTAAGCTTGGAACTGTTTCTATTCAATGCCAAGTTCCTCAGATACTGAGAGACTCCTCAGCTACAAACACCGCTCTGTCTGCACTCTCTGAGGAAAAGTTCAATAATCATAACTTATAAGGTTTTAGACTAAAGCAGGATGAAAACACTCATGTAACCTCACAAAATTTGCGTACTGTTTTTACTGCTCTGCAAGCATTGTTTTGATCCTCCAACAGAACAAAGTTTCTCAGCAGTCAGAGAGCACTCTATAAGATCTACCTGGCACCTTAATGGAACCATCTCAAAGCTTTGAAGCACAAAGGAGCAGTCCATGACACATCCGTGTTAAACGACCATGACCTGTCATTACAGACTCATTAAGGAACATTTCCAAGGTATAAGCAAAAAGCTTTATTAACTCAAATGTGTCAGATTATTTACTGTGCTTTATGGGCCAGGTTGTTGAATTTCTAGTAAGAATATAAAACATTCAAGGCTATACTTCATAAACTATAAAGTTGCAAATAGCTCTCAGCATTCTTCCTATGGATAACTAGCATGACTTGGGTTTTAAAAAGCAACATGGCAACTCAATAGTCAAACCCCAACTCTGTATTTCATACACACACACACCACTCATAAATGATCTAGAAGTTGGCTAGTTTAAACTGCAATGAAAACTTACTTTCTTCAGAAAAATTACCTTTAGGATAAGGAATAGTCATATACTCCCATTATTTTGGTCAAATGGATAGAGTAAATTGCATTTTCTATATTACACATTTTGTTACCCAACTCTAAACTTGTGTTCAAAAGTAGATAACTTGGGGCAGGCAGGATCTGAGCTCTACCTCTGCTTCCCTTCCGGCTTCCTAGTAATATGCTTGGGAGGGAGAGGACAATCCAATTGGCTGTGTCCCTGCAACCCTCCTGGACACCCCAGATGGGGTTCCTGGTTCCTGGTCCCTGGCTTTAGCCTGGCCCCGTCCGGGTTGTGGCAGACATTCTCTCTCTTCCTCTAGGCCTTTCAGCCTTTCACATAAATAAACAGACAGATAAATGTTTTTAAGAAGTATATAAACTTACCCAACTCAAATCTATACAACTCTTACTCTGCTCAGGTCTTTGGCTGACATTAGCACTGTTATCTGTTTCCATGAGGCTCTGTAGGCAAGATCTGCATCAAAATACTTGGCAAGGACATATACAGAAGCACGGAAAGCAGCAACAGAGCCAGAGAAAACAGGACTCTGGGATTTACACACTCCATGCTTGGCTATGGGGCTTAATGAGAGTGAGAGTTCAGCAGGACAGGAAAGAGAACTAGCACAAAATAAGAACAGTCCAAATGAAATTCACAAATGAGAAAGAATTTATAAGCTGCTTTTTCTGGCTAGCCTTAAAGAGGTGAAGATGCAGCTCCCAAGTCATGAAGGTCAAGACCAAATTGCAGTGAGGACTGTGCTTTTCTCCCCTCCCTTACCACCTACTGAGATGTCATCGTTAATACCAAAATATTCTCCAGAGATAAATTCTTTCTGACAATCTGCTGTTTTTGAACAACCAATTGTTTTTCAGGAGAGGAGTAACTTGAGAGCGAAATGCCCTTGGCTCTTGGGGGACAAGGCAGAAACAACTCTAGCTCTGGGGGTCTCCCTGCTAGCTACTGGGGCCTCTAAAGCCCAGGGGTTGGAGTCAGAAGGGGCACACAATGACCATCTGAACTCCTTTCTTCCTTCCTTCCTTTCTTTTTTTTTTAAGACCTGAAAGGCAGAGTTACAGTCAGAAGAGGGAGGGACAGAGAAACAGAAATCTTCTGCTTGCTGATTCACTGCACAAACGTCCACACTAGCTGGGGCCAGGCTCCAGCCAGGAACTCCATCTCGGTCTCTCATTCGAGTGGCAGGTGTCCAAGCACGTAGGCCACCTTCCACTGCTTTTCCTAGGAGCGTCAGTATCTATCACCTGCTGTTCTGATGTACTCACTCACATCCCTTCTTCATCTAAAAAAGCAACAAGAAATGAAAACATCCATCCACCAACACTTACCACTTGCCTACAGCAGACGCCTAATCATTTTGACTCTAAATATAGTTCGTGGTCCTGCTGTTTCTCACTGTGCTGTCTCTGCGGAGGACAAGCTCCAAAGGCATGGTTCTGCTGTACTGGGTGGTGTGACAGTGGAAATGTTCATTCCCTTGACTGCTTCCATCACTAATGGAGATCCAGAAAGCATTCTGGAAACTTCAAAGTGTACGATAAAATGAAGTAGTGTCTCTATTGCATTGGAAAGATCCTTAACTACTCCTAACAGTACAAGTACGTGAATGATTTCCAGGAAATTACAGCCTGCATCATAGATTTCATTAATCTTACAAGAAATCAGTTTTAGACCAAAAACTCAGGAATAGCTGTAGTACCCAGCATTCAGTAAGTCACATGTTTATTAATGGTTAGTTTCCTGAAAAAAAGTTTAATGAGTGATACACTTCTATAATGCGCTCAAGGTCACAATAAATTATTTTCATAATATAAATCGTTCTTTGCTAAGTATCTGTTTAGGAAATATGATCCAGAAGGCTAAGACCCATGAGTTGAAAAATATCTTCTACGTAAAATCACTACAGTTTTCTAAATACTTCTCAACTTTCTTGAGAAACTGAAGTACAGCAGTCTAATTTAAGAAGACAGAAGAAAATTTAAGAAGGCATAGAAGAAAACCCAATCAAAATGGTAACACAAAAGAAAACAGACTTTCTAACAGTTTAGCTCTAAATTGAAGAACATACATTTAGCTCACACAGAAAAGCATTTTGTACTGCCAAATAAACACTCATCCAAGAATGTACACACTCACAGAAGTTAACATATTATAGCAAACTGAAGTCACCTCTATTCGTATCAGTTAGGATTCACGTAGAGTAGCTGAAATTACACTGAATAAATAAAACCCAAAAGAATTCTCTTTAATTGGAGTATGTCCAAAAACAGCAAGCATCCTTTTTCACGGCAACACCAAATTGCTTTGTTACTTGAAGGAAAATAACCTGGTGATGGTACTCTAGGACACCCAGCAAAATATAACGCAGTCACCCAACGAAAGACTTAAACCAAAAGTTACCAAGAGAAAGACCACACCATTAAAGACCCTCTGCTTCTATATCTCCTACATCCAAAAGGCAAGCATCCCTAATATCTAAAGATATCTCTTGACATTTTATGCAAATATACTTCAAAAAAAAAACAATCATTTAAGCCACTACAATTTAGTGAAAGTATGCCATCTTTAAAATGTCATGTAGTAAGAATAACTTACAAGGATCTGACAAAATAAAGGTACCCTTAGCTAGGCCTGTGTTACTACTTGAAAATAAAACAACTGTTGAGGTCTCAACCAAATCCTGTACTAAACATTCTCCTTCAAGCCCCAGTTTCTTAAAATTCAACAAATAATTTTAAACAAAAACAAAAAGCTCTTAAGTGAACAGCTTCTAACACAAAACCAAGACTAAAACCACCCTTCTCTTCCCTTGAAGGGATTAAAATGTTTTCCGCATACTGGTGATTTCCAGCAGTATATATGTCTCCAAATACCACCAACTTAAATTTGAACAGAAATTAGTTCCATGTTGTGTAGAACGAGTTTTAAGGCTGGAACTGATTGGCCAGTTTTCCTCCTAAGCTCAACTGAAAGCCTTTATTAAAGCTGGACCAACATCACAGATACCAGAGTGCTCCACACTCTATCTGCGGAACAATCAACATTTACTTCTCTCAGTTTTTACTCCTGTCTTGTTATCCTCCTTCAAACAGCACCTCGCTTTGCATCACTTGTGCCATTAACAGCTCAGCTCAAAACACACGTGAACAGAATTCACTGAAAAGAAAGAGTGGTAGCACAATGCAGGGATGGTTTTCCTTTGCCATTTCCTGGCATAAATAATCAAGGATCTAAGCCTTTAAGTTCCATACTTACGGCAAAAGACTAGAATGCTCTCCATACCCAGGAATACACACAGAAGCGTCAAAACGTGTAAAACTGTAGTCACAAATGAGCTCTTTCCCAAATCAATGAATCAACCAAAATCCAATAAAAATGAGAATGCCATGTTTTCTTCCCCAAATTCCAACACTGAATAAAAGATATAGTCGACGTTAGAAGATAAACCTTACAAAAGCATGATCTCTCTCATCTGGTTATACAACTCTCCACCTGAAAATGAATTACAGCATTCAAATTACCGAGAAAAAAAAAATCAACTCACTTTATGTAGTATCTGGCACCTTCAAAAGTGTACGCCTCTTCCCAGCCAGTGGGCAAATCTAGAAAAACACATACGTACTACTGTTAATATTTCTTAAATGGGATAGAAAAATAAGTTGCATTTTCATGACTAGGTATTTTCATTTCAGTAAGCTGGTGAATTTAAAGTAGGATTAGATCAACAATAAGACCAACAGATACAACATCATTTTTAGAAAAAAATTGCGATTCAAATTTCAAGTCACCAGTAACTACCAATTACATGACATGACACACACTTGTACAATTCACCCGGATAGGAAGCGCAGTAGCCAAAAAAGCCAGGGCCAGCATTGAATGGCAAAACCCTAAACGGCGCATGCGTAACAGTGGACGCCTCCCTCTTCTGAGATGTACTGAGTTTAAGATCCTATTTTACACCTGTATAAATGGATTCAGCCTAGAAGTACTGCGGATGAGAAAAACTCCCATGAACTTCATTGGGGCAGAGGGATGGGACATCAAACACATCCAAGCACGAGTCTGATGCTTGGGAAGCTTCCAGTAATCAACTTGGGAATGATTCAGGTGAAGGCAGCTGTCTCCCTGTGCTGTTATCACGCAGTGATGACAGTGGTCAGAATTCAACCATCACCGCTCCCGGAAATAAAGAGCCATTGATGTGTGCACAAAACCTTAGGGTCCAAGCAGTCAACAAAATTGTGGGAAAAAAAATAACACATTAAATGCAAAAAAAAATCACATAAAAGGGTAATAGTTGTCCAGTGGTGTGTCCAGGAGTTAATTAGGGCACATTTATATATATGGCAAATAACCTATATAGGCAGAAAATAATTCCATAGGGTGATGAGGATGGACAATTTAAATGTCACACTGCCTTATATGACCTGGGTTGTAGTTTTTTGGGCTTTTGTTTTTTTACTGTTCATAAGCATATCCAAAAGGTATAGCAGAAGCAAAGAGACTTAAGCGACAGGATGGGATGTTAATCAGAAATGCCTTAAAAAGGTAACCCCATCATGCTTGGTACCCCCCACCCTTCCCCCATCCTCCTTCTCCTTTCTTGGGGAGACATCGGTCACTTCGCTGAACTCCAGAGCTGCACAGAAAAGCCAGGGCTATTCCAGACCCCGGCCACTCGCAGAGCCACAGAATCCCCGAGTTGGAGAGAAAGTGAGCGAGGAGAAGGGCAGCTCCGCACCACTGCCAGGACCGCCTTGCCCGGCGCCCCCAGGGGCCTCCAGCCTCTTCCCCACCAGCCAGAAACACAGGCCGGCTGAGCAGAGAACACATGTTACATTTCAAAGACAAACAAGTTTCTCGAATGTAAACAAAAGGATGACAAAAAGAAAGCCAGACCGGCAGGGAAACTACCCTTCGTGGCTCACCTCGGAGTGAGCGTCCTCGCCGGCCCCCGGGGCGGCGTGCGGTGCTCGCTCCATCCAGGGTCAAGCCCCTCCACCCAGGACCCCAGATGCCCACTTCGGGGGGCCACCCCCCTCACACGCCCACCGCCTCCTGGTGGCCACCCGGGACTTTGAATGTGATCACCAGGCGAACGCCTCCTCCTGCCGCTCCGCCCTCCAGGGGCGGGGAGGGCGCCCACCACCCCCTCCCCAGCCGTCCCCCTGTCACCGGGAGGATCGCGGCACCCCGAACTCCTCTCCTCCTCCACCACCCACCCTGGAGTCCCACCTAAGGAGGAGGACGGGGCGGCAGCTGCACGGTGGGAGGCAGCCGGCCGGGGAGGCGGGAGAGGATGTGGGCTGGTTACCAGGGGCGGCGGGATCGTGGGGACGGCTGAGGACTTCCCAAAGGTGGTCGGAGGGGCTGGTGGGAGGACGGGACTCGATGGGATGGAAGGTTAGGAGCTCCAGGGAAGGAAAACTCCGTGATTCCAGGCGGAGGAGAGCCGGCCACCTCGGGGAGAGAGGGAGGGAGGGGGGTCCCCGGGGTGTCCAGGTGGGGCTAAAAGGCGAGGGAGATGAAAGGCGCACGAGGAGACAGAGGCGCCCGGCCACTCCGGAGAAGTCCCGGCGGCCAGGCGACCCCCGCGGGCCCCGGCTCTACCTGCGGCCGCCCGCGCCCGGCCTCCGCCCCAACCTCGCCACCGCGCGGCGCCGCGGCTCGGGGCAGGTCCGCCGGGAAGCGGGCGGCCGGGGCTCTGTCGCCTCTTCCCGGACAAGCCCAACTCCGCTCGGGCCCGGCCGGGGCGGCGTTACCTGCGCTCTGCCGCCGGTGTCCGGTGACGACGGCCTCGCCGGTGACCGGGTGCAGCCAGGTGGTGCTCTTGGCCTCCTCGCTGCAGGGGTGAGAGAAGGAGCAAGGGAGCGGGCGTGAGTAGGGGTAGGGACCGGGACAAGCTGAGGGGGCGCTGAGGGGAGAGACTCGGACCCCCTCAGCGCTCCCGGCAGTCCCCTCACGCCCGCCCGCCCGTCCTCGCGCCGTCTCCCCGGCTCTTTACTTGATGAAGAAGACTCGGCCGCCCCTGGTGATCCCGTAAGTCCAGGACCGGGGCAGGGAGCAGATCCACTCCAGGTTCAGATCCGCCGCCATGTCTGATCCCCAGTCACCACCACCACCGCCGCCGCCGCCGCCGCCGCCGCCGCCGCCTTCTCCTGCTGCCGCCGCGGCTGGCGAGGGAGGAGGGAGCGAGCGAGCGAGCGAGAGAGCGAGCAGAGCAGAGCGAGCGCGGCCGGAGCGCGCCTCCCCGGCCCGGCGCGCCCCCGCGCGCGCCCTACCCCCTCGGGCGGCGCCCGCCCCGCCGCCCCGGCTGGGTCCGGCCCGCGTCGCCGCCCCTCGCCATCTCCCCGGCCGCCCCGGCCGCGCGCTCCGAGGGGAGAGGGGGGCTGGGCGAGCGGCGCCGCCGCCCCGAGGCCGACCCCTCCCTCGCCCCCGCCCCCTCGCCCGCCCGAGGTTCCGGGATCGATGAAAAACAATAAATAAATGAAACACCCTAGGACGCGTCCTGTCCCCAGGGCTTCGCAGCCCCGGGGCGCGACGGCCAGGGAGACCGAGTGCCCCCCCCCCCCAGCACCCGCCAAACCGCGGAACGCCGAGTCGAAGCTTTTGTTTGATAAAAGCTCTTGGCTATCCCAGAGATCTTTCAAATCTCTCCACCGTTGTTTTTTTTTTTTTTTTTAAAAAGGGAAAGCTGTTTTCATGAAAGCACGCGGAAGGCTTTTCCTGTTTGTGTGTTGGGTGCCAAGTATCAAAGGTTTGACTACTTACCCTAGACCCGTGAAATTCGAGTGCATCAGACTTGACAAAACAAGTTCTGCTTTTCGAAAGCTTCTGAAATCGTATAATGGTTTATAAAATAAAAACTCCACTTTTGGGGTTTTTTTTTTTTTTGGAGAGCCACGTTATCGGTGTGTTTTTATTTTCCCTCAGGTCACCTGTACATTTCAATCACAGCTTGCTTAATGAGTCCTTAGATTCTTTACGTTTCTGATGCCCACCCACAACAACCCCATAGTTAGCCTGCAAGTAATTATCTCCATTTTACAGATGGGAAAAATCAAGTTTACAGACACTGTGATTTGCTCACCAGTCCGCAGAGTAAATGACAAAGCCCCGGATTCACACTGGTTTTCGTATTTCCAGTCCGCTTGTATAACCACCTTGCCTTTCTGTCCTTGAAAAAAAAAAATGCATTCCCCCCCTTCCCACTCTGTTCTTTGAGGCAGGCCACCCCGGAGGCACCTGCCCTGCTCTTCCACCACCCTTTCCTGTTGGCAGGGAGATGATTCACAGTTCAGTAATAATAGTCCTCCTTGGTATTCTCACAGCACCTTTTCCCGACCAGTTTTGGGTGATTCTGAAGCATTATCTCATCCATCTTCCTGTAACTCCAAGAGGCAAATCATCTTTTTCAACTTCCAGGGAAACTAAGACACAGAAAGGGTGCTCTGACCTTGTCCAGTGCTGGATCCAACAAGTCTGCTGCGACCTGGAGGCTTTCCCTTTGACGGATTCCCCCAAGGCCGTTCTGTCTTTGGCCCAGAGGGAGTCTGTAATTGCTGCTATAATTTTCCTGTCCATCTGCATACACGGAGGGGGGAAAAAATAACATCACTTCAACGTTTTTGTCTTTTTGGTTCCTTTGCATTCTCCTCTTTCATTTCCATACTTATTACTTCTTGACATCTTATCTCCTCCCGGTCTCTGGGAAAAAAATAACCTTTTTAAAAAATCAATAAATAACTAGCAGGAAATGTTTCACATTAGCATCAGTGGTCACTGAATATAGCACAGCAAGAAAATCAAGAGCTATTGACTTTATACTGTGCTATCATTACAAATTTAAATCTCAATTGGATCTTTTTAATATCACAATAACTTTAGAAATATAGTACCTGTTAGTCCAGCTATAGTAGTCACCTCAATCATGTGCTACTGAGAAATCAATAAGTCTGTGTGCCGTAGTGGGATTCCCTTTAGTTCTGAATCTTCTGATATTACAAAATTTATCAGTTCAAGACACATTTTTTAAAAGCAATATTCACTTAATAAAAATATGTGTCTTAAGAAATCAGAGTGCTTAAATCGAAATCTAGAATCTCAAGTGGAGTTCTCTGCTCTGTCCTCAAGTTCAGCTAAAGCAATAAACACTCAATTTACAGACGTGTTTACAAATGGAGGCGTGCTTCAGATTTGGGGATAGAGTGGTCCTTCTGACTCTAGGACCCAGGAAGAGAAGCCATGAATAACATTTACCCTTAGTGAGTGAAACTGTGTGTGTCTTACAATTTTCCTGGCATGGACTCTGCGTCACCATGTTTTCTTTGCCAAATTTGCTGTGTCTTGTAGCTGTGTTTCTATGTGCGTTTTTTGCACTGTAGTAGGTAGGATTCATGCCTTTCCTACCAGAACTGCTACAGCATGAGTCAGCATCAGAATGGCTACTGAATTTAATTTTCTTGCCGATGCCTCAACCTCCCGGCTGAGTTATTTCACAATAGCATAACCCCTTTTTATCACATCTTATCCCTTCAATAACTCACTCAGACCTAAGCTCATACACAAACTCTGAATTTGTTTTTTTTTTTTCATATTTATATCTTTTGAGCCTTGCAATTTCTTGGTTTCATGATGTGTCTTTTGAGACAAAAAAAAAAAAAAAAAGAAGAAGGAATTTTGTTCTATGAGTATTGCAGGCACGCAATTAAAAAAATAAACAAAAAATGGGAGATTTGGAAAATACCAAGGAGACAGGGGACTGGTCATAGCAGTGAGGATATTGCTTGAAAACTCCACCTCCATTATCACAGTACCCAGGTCCAAGTTCTGGCTCTGCTTTTCATTCCAGATGCCTGCTAAGGTATACTCAAGGAAGCGTCTGATAATAACGTAGTTCAAATGGTTGATGTGCCACCTGCCTGGGAGATCTTGGCTTCTGTGTTCTACCTGGCCCACCCAACCTGGCTTGCTGGAGGGAGACACTTGAGGAGTGAACCAGCAGATGGGGGAGCTCTTTCTGTTTCTGTTTCTTTGTATCTTTCAAATAAATGAAAAAAAAAAAATTTTTTTTTTAATTGAAACTACTGAGCATGAAAAGTGAACAGCATTCATCCAATATGTGGAAGACAATCTTTATTCAAAAGCCTACAATTCAAATAAAGCAGAAAAAAAAAGAGAAAGCCAATTAATCTTCCTGAAATATGTGAAATGAAAGAGCACACAGTGAAATCTTAGCTAACAATTTTTCTGCTTCCCCCTTTAAAGGGAGTGCAAAAGAAGTGGGAGTTCAAGAAAGCAGAGAAAGAGGCTTTGAGAAAAAAACATTTCTTTTTGTATCGAGAAACATACATGTATTGTTTGGTAAAATCTACCAACAAAGTTGAGCACCTTTACTGGCTATCTTTGCAATAGAACATTTGTCTTGTTACATAATTAGCTCACAAAGTCTCATAAAATACAGGACGTTATAAACAGCTTCTTTAACTTTTAAATTGTCATCTGGAAAGTGGTCTATACCATGAAAATTCTATAGCAATTAGCAAAACGTTAACAGTGAAAATCTAGGCAGAAAAGATGAAGAGTGAGGAGTTGAAGGTAAGCAAGTAAATACTATTTGGAAGTCAATTTATTAGGAGTATTTTTCTGCTAAGCAAACAGATAGTAACAGAATTACTTCATTCATTCACTCAGCAACCCTATGTAGAAGTCCTACTGTGTGCTAGCCATTCAGCTGGGTAATAAGGATTAGCAAACTTGGTTTGGGGTCAGTATTATGACACAGCAAGTTAAGCCTCTAGTTGGTGCATCAGCATCCTATATTGGAGTGCTGGTTTGAGTCGGCTGATCCCGCTCCTTGCTCCTCTGCTTAGGAAAGCAGTGGATGATGGCCCAAATACTTGGGTTCCTGCCAAGCCTGTGAGAGATGCAAGAGGAGCTCCAGGCTGCTGGCTTTGGTCTGGCCTAATCACAGTAATTTCTCTCTCTCTCTCTCTTTCTCCCTCTTCCTTTGTAGTGTTCTTTTAAATAAGTAAATATCTTTAAAAATAAATAAAAGACTTGACCTGCTTTGGGCAGCTTAGGACAGGGTATGGAGCCACAAATCCTTAGGTATGAGGGTACTGTAGAAAGTTCATGGAAAAAAAGAATTTGAACATAGGTTTAATTTGGTTAAACAAAAAGATGAAATTCGTGCCTAAAAGGAGTCCTTCAGAAAGTTCAGAAAAAAATGATTATGAACAAAAATGTTCATGAATTTCAAAACTTTTTTTTTTTTTTGCACCAAAACTCATTTCTGATTTCTGCTTTCCATGAACTTTTGAAGAAATGAGAAGAAGCAGCATCACCATCCTGGTCACAGAACATGAACCTTCTATAACAGTTGTTATCTAAGGATTTCATGTGGACCATTCAAGGACTATCTTGACCTTCCGGCTTTTTTTTTTTTAAATAAGTGTTTGTTTTTTTTTTTTTTAAGTTACAAGTAGAATTTTCAGGTGCTCACCATCTTTTTTTTTTTTTAAAGATTTATTTTATTTTTATTGGAAAGGCAGATATTCAGAGAGGAGAGACAGAGAGGAAGATCTTCGGTCCGATGTTTCACTCCCCGATCCGAAGCCAGGAGCCTCTTCTGGGTCTCCCACACAGGTGCAGGGTCCCAAAGCCTTGGGCCGTCCTCGACTGCTTTCCCAGGCCACAAGCAGGGAGCTGGAAGGGAAGCGGGGCTGCTGGGATTAGAACCAGCGCCCATATGGGATCCCGGGCGTGCAAGCGAGGACCTTAACCACTGCGCCACCGCGCCGGGCCCAACCTTCCGCTTTTAATGCTGATATTTTAGAGAGCTTTCCACTTACACAAGGAGAGAATTAAAGGAAACATATAGTAGCAGTAGCCAACCCTGCCGCTGGCTGATCTTTTCTGCAGGCAGTGATCTGGAGGGAAGTTTAGGGCAGCTGCCTGGAGATACGGAGGGTAAGAAAGGAGATACTTGAAGTCTTCAAGGAACTTGCATCTGAAAACCTTGCCTTGTTTGAACTCAACTCCGGATCCTTTACCCCAGTCAGCAAAGCAGTTATCTACATTCTTTGCAGTGGCAG